ATTCAAACAAAAAGCTGACCTTCAGCCTGTACCAGGAAAATGAATTATGAGCTTGGAAGCACAAACAAGCAGGTGCTTCTTCCTTCTTCTGCAAAAAGTACCCAACCCTGAAGTCCCCTTTCTCCCAGAGCCCGGTGTCCAAGAAATAAGGGAAAGTATATGCCTCCGGATCACCATCCTTTTTCTTAAAGTGAAGACAGGGCTGACACTTCAGACTAGATTCTAAATTATTACTGTGGCAACAATTTAAAATTAAATCCTAAAAATGAACTTTGTCAGGCTAAAGGAATCACCAGCACTAGCAACAGACAACCTTTTTTTTCCTATAATTATCTTAAGCAGGAACTATCAAGGTAGCCTAAGGGTCTGCTACTGGATACCCTGTTTCAGACCTTGGGGGGTAATCTCAATTTTAAATATGGTCTCCATCCCTTATACCTCCAGTTGTTAGCCTACTAAGTCTTGTTGTTTGACCCAGAAAACTGAAGAGTAAAACATGCAGATGAAGGTCCAAATAAGAGGGGCCCCATGCAGAAAATTTAAGAATGTTGCTTCAGACATTAAATACTGAATGTCTTGGTGGAGAAATAAAAACAATTTCCTCCTAAAAGAAGGCAAGAGGCTCGGAAATCTGTGCTAAATCTTAAAACTTTGCAAACAGAGAAAATAAATCTCAATGTCCGTTAACAAACAAATGTGCTATTTCAAAAGAAATAAAACAAGAAATCTAGAAATGGACAGAGCCCAGGAAATGGACCCAAATCCTTTTTGTAAGGCACTTCCAAGTTGTGATTTATTTCAGCTTGACTAGAAACCGAACAAATCAGCAATAGCTTGTGTTTTATGAAATGCTACAAAAAGACAATGCTATCATTCCAAGTGTTACTCTGAAGATGTGGAAGTCTCAAATGCCTTAGATTCACTCTTTTATATTCCAAACTATCCATGTTCCTAAAGGCAATACAAGATTGCTCCTAAGTTAAAGACCCCCAAATCACTATCTAACTTGAATCATGCAAAGTTCAAAAAGTAGTTAACATTTTAAGTTTCAAAATTTCAAAAGAAGTTTAAAAATATAAGCAAAATGCTCCAGTGGAGAGACTGAAACAGAGATAAAATCAATTATAAAATAACTGTTGAATTAAAAGAAAAAGAAGAAAAGCCAGAGTGTCCTCATTAACTAATGAGTCTGACAATTATAATTAGTTTTTGTCCAACAGCAATGACGGAAGAAAAAAATACATTTTCAAAATGGATTATCAAGAACAGGGGTAATTTAAAATGACCACAGATCATATTCATCCAGGAAAAATATTACAGCAATGTTGATACTTACCAGTGATCCTCTAAATGTTAACGGTTCTGCCTGTTAAGCTTAAAATGTAAAGTCAGAAATTGCCACAAATTTATGATCCTGGGAATTTGGTCAACAGTTAGATATTAAAGAGTCCGCAGAGACCACCTTCTCAGTACTCAAAGGACATTTGAGTTCTCCGTGTGCTTAGGCCCAGAGCAGGCCCTCAGAAAAGCAAGAATCACTTTACTTTTACAAGATACAATCAAGTTTGCATGCAAAAAGAAAGATTAATTCCTTTGAGGCTTCAAAAGAATGGGACAATACTTCTCTTTAAGCAAACCAATTTTGTCAATAATGGTGGTTTAAAAAAAAAAAAAAAAAAAACAGGCTTTCCTAAACCCTGGGAAGCCTTAAGGCATCCTGCTATCAGAGGACTGAAAGAGGATGGCTAACTCCAACACCAGGAACCTTAAGCCTATTAGGCAGTTGGGGGTTGCTACTTGTTTGCTGAATAAGTAAACTAAAAGACCATGGAAAACTAAATTAGACTAAATAAAATGCTACTCTGAAGTGTAACTGCAGTACTGAGATTTAGAAAGAAAGGACTAAGTTTGAAAGTTACTTTAAAATAAAATCCACTTGACCCTAACTTGGTAAATGAAATAAAGTACCTGATACTCAAGAAGCAAGGAAGGAAACTGACCTACAAAATTGCAGAGATGAAAAACTTTCTTAAAAACTTAGTTTAACTGCTTTTCCAAGCATGTTAATTCCTAAATATTGCTTATATATTTATCTATAGACACACTGCAACTATACTAAACAAACATGTTATTTCTGGACTATTATCATACTAAAATATAAGCCTCTGAAGAATGCACTGGAATAGAAATGCTGCTATTCAACGTAACAATTCCTTATTGTCTGGCACTCAGATGTTAATGAAAAATGATAATGACAGGATTGTGAGAACACCAGCCTTCCTGAGAACAAATTCACTATATCCACTCTTCTACAAAAGACAAATGAGCTTCATTATAAAAGAATTCACAATGCATCTCTCTGGACTCCCAGTTCTCCTAGATAGTTTGAAATATTATTCAAAGTTCACAAAATTATTTTACATATGCCTCTTAACGAAAACAAATGGAAATAAACTGTGTGTGTATTTAATATCTGTCCACACACCACAGAGTTCTAGACATATATCCAATATATAGGCCCTATCCTCAAAGTTATTCTTACACTCATCAGTTGAAATTAAACCCAGTTCTCCATAGTCAAGTCAGAAAGCAACTTGGTTATTTTGCTAGATAAAGCCACAACATTTTCCATTCCTGAAATGTATGAATACTCTAAAAAAAAAAACTGGTTTAGGTGCCTAACAGACATCAATACACAGTGTGCTATGCTCCCCCTATTGGCTAATATTCAAAATAACAATGAATTCCCCAGGGGGTGCCTTTGAAGTGCTGGGGTTCAAAAGTAAGTTGGTGATTTTTATGTTTAAAAACAAGAGGTGGGTCAACAGTTGTTAAGCAAAGGTACCATATAATGGTCAGATTCCATCAAAACAGGAAAAATTAAAGTTGACAAATGACAAAGACCAACTGAAGGGCTGAAAACATGCTGAAGCCTTGAAACACTAAACAATGCAGAACTGAAGCCAAAGGCAGAGAACACTAAGAAACAGAGCAACATCCTCTAACTGACACAATGGCATGAAATCAATTTCATTTTAATAGCCCTTAAGGGGGTAAGAATTATTTCCCTGACTCCTGTGCCAACCCCAAGCTGTTTCCTAAGGAAGCCAAGTAACTGACCAGCAACGTCTGGAGAATCAATATGAGAAATGAAGTTTAAAGATCTGAATTAATTAATATAAATCAGAGTTCTACTTATAATTATTTGGAGCCAGTTTCAGAGAAGCTGAAATTTGGCACCCCCGCGGGTAGATCACCTAAATTAATCACGGATACCTGATTTGTGTTTCAAGAGATGTGTGTTCAACTCAGTGGGAAGTTGAAGGATGGGAAAAGCTGCCCGGACTCACCGCACACAAATCTGACTGCACTTGCTGCTCTCTGCTGAGTGGCTAAGCTAGCTCTGGAGTCAGAACTAACAGTTGTGTAATAGCCTGGGCAAGTAACTAACCTCTAGTGTCTTATCTGCAAATTAGGGCTATTAATAGTGTTTTTTCCAGAGAGTTCGTGTAACGATTAAGTGTCCATAAGGCATTTAGGAGAGTGTCTGGCACAGAGTTTGAGCCCAATAAACGTTAACTTTTATTATTTCCGGAAAGTAGCTAATTTCACACTGAAGTACCTGTTTGCAACCTGAAGTACTATTCCAGGAAAATTAAAAGGTCTTGACATGTGCTTTGCTACTTGTGGGAGACTTATCTTCTCCCAAACCGATCGCTTATTTCTCTTGGAAGGGATGCAGAGTTCAGAAAAAGTCTGGTTCCGCATCTCAGTCTGTCATTCCTACCAACCTTACCCTCCACGCTCCTGTCTAGTCTCCACTAGGCTCAGGACAAGCACAGCTAATAGCGGTGCAGAGGCACTGCTCTAGTACTTTACATATTTTAAATCATTCAATCCTCACAGTAACATTGAGGCCAATACTATTACACTCCCATTTCACAGCTAAGGAAATGGAGTGATTTTCTTCTCTCAGCTCTTTTTTGTAGACACTAAATCCATTAAGCTCTGCTCGGTCAAGGTGGGAGCCAGTATTGGCGGCTCAGGTGGTAAAGAAACTGCCTGCCAAGCAGGAAATCCAGGTTCCATCCCTGGATCGGGAAGATCCCCTGGAGAAGGGAATGGCAACCCACTCCAGTATTCTTGCCTGGAGAATTCCATGGACAGAGGAGCCTGGGGAGCTAGCCACAGTCCATTCCAGTCCATGGGGTCGCAGAGTCGGTCATGAATGAGCAACTAATACACACACCCTGTCAAGGTAATTCACGTTTGACAAGCTGGCTCCCTACACCAAATGATTCTGGAAAGTGAAGCAAATGCCCTAATAAGAGCAAGACTGCAAGATTCTCCTAGCAACAGTCCAAGAGTTTCCAGATTATTCTAACCAAATGAACATGCTAAGGGAATCCTTCAAAACAAACCGGGAAAGGTGGCTAGTAAGTTAAAGCGGGAGGGAGGATCCTCTGCGGGGCTGTGGGCTGCAGCGCTCGGCGCCACCCGCAGTGCACCCCGAGGGCGCGGCCCGCGGGGAGTGAAGCTCCCGTTGGTGCGCGAGTGCCGGGGCCGCAGCCTCGGCAATGGCAATTGAGTATAAACCCACAACAAGTCTCTCCCACCGACGCTGTCACGCGCCCAGCGGGAAGTGGCCAGCGCGCCCCGCGGAGGTCAGAAGAAACCGCGGAAAGGAAGAGTGAGGGCAGGCGCGGAGCAGATGTCCTCCCCAGCACACCGCATCGCCCGGAGCGCTGCCCACCCGGGACGGCCGCTGCCCTGTGCACCTCACAGCGTAAACACCAACCTACCAACGCCGCCCCCAAGAAGCCCAGGGGTCCGGGCGGCCGGAGCGATCCCGGCCGGGAAACAGGCGCGGAACCCAGCGCAACGCCAACAGCCCCCGCGCAGCCTGGAGAGCCCTCGGCCGGCACGGGTGCTGGGCTAGCCTGGCGGCCAAGGGCGTCCCGGCGCGGGCTGCAGAGCCGCTAGGCTGAGCCCGCACGTACCTCGGAGGCGGTGTGTCAAACGGAGATCCACCCGCCGCAAGTTGCAGGAAAGCAGAGCAAAGTTTCCCCGCCCAGCGCCCGGCGGCCGCGAGCTCCGGCAGCTGCTGCGCCGCGGCGCAACTACGCCATCCCGACCCGCCGGGGACTTTCTCCTCCTGCAGGGAGCTCGGGGAATCGCGCAGGGAAAGTGGCCGAGCACGAGAGCCGCCGACTTCCCTCCCTCACTCACTAGGAAGAGGAAAGCGCCACTCGGCGTCCCCGAAACCCTCGATTACCCCCATCGGGCCGACCCAGCGCACTCGCTCCCCCTCACACACGCGGGCGGGGATGGGCAGGACGCCACAGCAATCAGCGCGCGGGGGGAAGGGCGCTCCTCCTCCGCGGTCCCCACCGGAGCTCCGGGCCGCCGAGAAACTCCTCCTCCCGCCGCCCGCCTCTCCTCTCTCCTCCCCCTTTTCCTCTCGGGCTGATGGATGAGCCCCGAGCGCGGCCGGAGCCTGTGTTTCCCTTCGGACCGAGGAGGGAGGGAGAGGAAAGGAGTACTGGGAACGGCTGGGGTGCTGCGCGCCCAGGTTGGGACGGTCGGCCGTGGGGGAGGGGGTCCTCCGAGAAGAGCCACACTGGGGCAGGGAGCAGGGGGCAGGGGTGGAACGTGGACGCGAGCGGCAGGGATTCCCATCCTCCAACTAGGTGTTTCCAACTAGAGCTCTCTGGAAGAGTTGGGTTATTTGGTTCCCTCCGTCTTGATATAAAATTTCTAAAACCTCGGGTAATCTGATCACACCCTCTTGCCTACACCCTAGCAAAGGCCCCCACGCGCACATTCATTCTGTCCCTGCTTGTTTTTCCCACCTGCAGTCCTGCTTGCTGTATATCAAGATGCGTTCTGATGGTGAGTCTTGCCTCCTCCTAACAGCTAAGAGTGCATAACCCAGCCATTACCCCCTGCTCACTAGATAATACAAATGAAGGAGCTTGGTCAGCATTGCTGGCATTATCCCTAGATGGGCGCGATGTAAGTGAAGGTGTTGACGCTGCTTCCTGCGTGCAAGTCCGGGTGGACTGACTGCTGCAGGGGTTGATGAGCGCTGTCATCAGAACACCACTTTGATACTCCTTTTTTACACCTGGTTTTTCTGTTAAAAGATTTCTTAAACAAAGGACACTGTTTTACCAAGAAGCTGGTGAAATAACTCTAGGCTGACTGGTTTCAGAGACCAGACGTTCTGTCTTGATTCTGCCCTTTGACAAGATGTGAAACCTTGGACTATCGGCTTCAACACTCCAAGTCCGTTTTCTCCTCTGTTAAATGAGGAGCTTGGCCTAGGAGACTTCTTCAAATCATAAAAGGTTATGGTCCTAGGCTTTTAATCGCTAGAGACTAGAATGGGAAAGTTTCTTATATTATTACTTCTGCAATATTATTATTTGGAAAGTTATTGGGTTTTCCTACTTTGAGAGAAGAGGAAGTGTTTCTCCTCTTTTTTCTCTTGTACCTATACAGAGAGAACTCACTCAATTGGAGATATTTCCACAAAAGCCAAATCATTATTGAATCACCTGGATTACTGCAAAAATCTCTAAAGTGAACAATTCATTCCTTACCAATATTTATTGAATACCTATTGTTTGAAAGGCTTGAGTGAAGCCTTGGAGAAATATATACAGCTAATGCCTTGTTGGAGCCAACAGTCTAGGTAGAGTTATCTCAGTTGTGATAGAGTCTCTCTAGATTCAAGGACTTAGACTTCTCATAGACTCAAATTACACAGTATTCGTGCCTCAAACCGTCAAGTTTTAGCTTCCAGAGCAGACATGAACACTTAAACTGGGTTTGAATATTTAATCCTACCTTTAAACATACCAATCATGTTAAAGCTTTTTAATTTCTAAATAAAATGACGTAGAAGTAGAGAGAGAAAAACCAAGTCCTAGATAACAGTCTTGTCTTTAGAGAGTGATGAAGTAACTGTTCACAATAATCAGATTCTCAATAGTGTAACCAATTATGTGTAACTCAATACTGGACAATTATTCTGTGCCAGGCAGAGTTCTAAACATTCTATGTACCTAAACACATTTACTTCTCAAGCCCTATAAAGCTGTATACAAACTGAGGCCTATGTGCAAACCTACCTTAAGGCCTTAGAATTTGCTAAGATAGTACGTATAATAAATGAGAGAGTCAGAATTCAAATCCGTATCCATCTAGCTCAGAGCCCAAGTCCTCAACCACCAGGACATTGTTGTTGCGCTTCAGTCACTAAGTCATGTCCAACTATTTGTGACCCCATGGACTGCAGTACGCCAGGCTTACCTGTCCTTCACTCTCTCTCGGAGTTTGCTCAGATTCATCTCCAGTGAGTTGGTGATGCTATCTAAAGATCTCATCCTCTGTCCCCTCTTCTCCTTTTGCCTTCAATCTTTCCCAGCCTCAGGATCTTTTCCAATGAGTCAGTTCTTTGCATCAAGTGACCAAAGGGTTGGAACTTCAGCATCAGCCCTTCCAGTGAATATTCAGGGTCGATATCCATCAGGATTGACTGGTTTGATCTCCTTGGATGTACTACCTGTCATCAGAAGCTTTACATTATTGGCAAAATGAAGAAAGGTTTGAGGAGTTTATTCCATTGGGATTTTTTTCCCTCAAAACATCTTTAAAATTTAAGGCTATTTAATTAGTTTCTCTAGCTGATATGGAAAAATCCAAGAAATTATGTCAGAATTTGCAAAACTCACAATGTCTACATAGGTGTTTTCTCTCAATCTTTATGCTAATAATGTGATATTATTTGCAGAAATACAGACACCTGAAGCATAGAGCAAAGGTTTTAAACAAAATTTTGGTTCCCCAGTCAAGGGGTTCTCCAGAAAAGGAGTTCCCTTACATTTTAATAATACAGTATTCACTGATTTCTAGAGGGAATAAATCCTCTCCTTTGATCGGTCTCTTACAAATTAGGACTTTGTTCAAGTTACAGGATTTATTCCCATAAGATACAAACTTCCTTTGTTTCAAGGTGGTGTCTTAGTCATTTGTTCCAAATTTTTTCAAAAAGAATTGCAAGCAGAGAGGTGAGATAAAGAGGTGCACGCTATCTTACTTGCAAAGAAAAAAGGTTTGACAGCAGAGTGTCGAAATTTACTGAGACTGTTTCTTGCAAGGACCCACCCTTCCTATAGATGTGGACCCACTTCTTTACAACAGTGGCATGTCCCCAGATTCTGTTGTTTAGCAGACAACTGAACAAATTCAAACTGCTTGTGTTCCTTGCAGAAGTCAACACCTCGAAATGCTAAAAGACTGTATCATTAGAAAATCATTTGGTTGTTTTTCTTTTCTAAGTCCTCCTTTAGTATTTAGCATATGCTTTGCACTTTACAAATCATAGCTCATTCAATCCTTATAACACTCTGTCATCCTCATTACAGATTAGAAAATGATGCAGAGAGTGAAGAAACTTGCACAAAGTCACACAACCAGCAACTTGGCTGGTTGACCCAGAGTGTGCTCTGAACCTCCACTTTATGCTGCTACAGGTGAAAATAGAGCCCCATCCACTCAAAGCAAGAGTCATATTCTTAAAGCTCAATTCTTTTTTTTTTTAAAGCTCAATTATTTAAAAGTTTCAAAAGATAAAGTTTGTTGAGAAATATTACCCTCCACCACCACATAAAAATCAATTCCTTTCACCCAGGAAAGAGAAGAGAAGAGACACTAACTTTAAAGTTTGTCTGAAATAGCCAAGATCTTAGAAGCAATTGCATAACTCCTCTTAAGAATGTGTGACAGAACATGAACCAACTGTTCCAAAATTGTTGTGACAGGAGACTGGTCTACAAACTACAGTCTGTGCTCCTATTTTCTGCTCGGCTGACCTATTATTACAGCAAGATTTATGACTTATTTCTAAAATTTGCCCATAAAGATTCCAATTCATACCTGTAGGTGTTTTATATATCACCATAACCTAAAAGCCATAATCTAAAGCCACATTTTCTCTATCTATATCCAAGATTAGAATATGATTTTCACTGATAAAATTTGCAGCTGGCAAACTTCAAATTAATGAGGAAAAAAATACTCTCAGATGAGCCTGTTTGCAGAGCAGAGCCCAAAACAGACACCTGATTCAGGCCTGGTGGATTCCTCAGAGAATTTAGAAATAAAAATCCAAAGCAAATTCCCTTCCAGTAAGCCCGAGTTCCTGCAAACTTGACATTTCCTGTGCCTGTGCGGAGCCTCCAATGGCAGTTTCCACAATGCACCTTCAATTTCCCTCTCAGCGGGTCTTCTGAAAAAGCAGGAAACCTCACACCATTTCAAAGGAATAGCAAACCCCACTGAGATCCCTGTGGTCTTAGCTCCCTAGGGGAGGGGGCCAAGCCTCTGCTCTCCCTGCCTGTGCAGAGACTCCAGAGGGAAGGCTTCTCCCTGGCCCCCACCTCCATAGTTGCCCTGCAGAGAACTTTTGTTTTGGCCTAGAGAAGGGAAAAAATCACAAACATCCTATTTTGTGACAGGGGGGCCAAAAAAGACCAAGAGCCCCATGCACATATATTAATATCTGTGAATGTTACAAATCTTATTACTTTCATTTAATGAATATGAGAAATGCTGAAACACCACTTGTAAAAATACCAAAATTTAATATTGCCATTGCTATTGATCCTCTGTTCTCATTGTTATTGTTCCCCTTTCTGAGCACTCACTCTGTGTAAGCCCTTGTTACAAGTTTAGCCTTATAAAATTTATTTCCTAACATACTTTGAAAATGAATAACTCCATGTATTTGTTAAAATTACCTGTTATAACATTTCTTTAGGTTACTCTCACAATGTCTGGTTTTTGTGTTTTTTTTTTCATGCAATCTTAGGAGGAGAATTTCTCAACTGGGTCCTGGAGATATAGTCTTTAGAATTTAGTAATAAGTTGAGTAAGAAATTTGCTTTCATTTTGCATTTTTTGTTTTAATGATAATCTTAAAAAGCTGTGTTAATCCTCTTTTGGGGGAAGGGGGACAGGGATAATTAAAAAACAATAGACTTTCCCATAATAAAAGATTCTTATTTCTCAGGTCAATGTTTTTTGTCTTTTGAAGTGGGAAATTCTTTTCTAGAGGTGCCTAAGAATTTTTTTTTAAGAGTCCTTAACTTCTTAACATTTCAAAAATTTGCTACAGAATTTTAAATTAAATTTTCCTTTACCATTTCCCCAGTTTACCCATATATTT